AGACAAAGAGAAAGGCTGACTTCATAGGGATCATCCCAAAACCAAGTTTTTTTTATATTTTGCCAAAATGATCAAAATACAGAAATACTGGGTTGCTGTCTCCCAGCATGTTTAGGTTTGACTACTTTCTTCCCTTGCTCTTGTTCTCCTCTCTTCTCGTTTCTTCACTACTCCTTCCTTAATTCTTGGTTTGCCCTTTGTCCACCTGGGGTGTGCTTCAGGACCTCCCAAAACTGCCTCTTTGCTTTAATTGATTTGATATGGCAGTTTTAAATCTTGGCACCATTAATCCTTTCGCTGCCAAGCCCCCTGGAACATTTTGCACCTCAGCTGGCCACAGCATTTTTGCAATTTTTCCCATTGATTTGATTTTCAACTGCTGCGTTGCTAGCATTGGTAAAAGACCCCCCAAACCATATACTTTCTGAAAGCACAGGCGCGGTAGAATAAAAACATGGTGCTACTAAATTTGTAGGCCCTGCGATAATTGCGCAAATGTTTCTCAAATGAATATTAAACCGATAAAAATACTCAATTCAATTGATAAAGCACACTAAAATCCGTATCATTGCAAAAAAATATATATTTTCTGACAATCTAATAGATAAAACTGTATTGAGTTAATAAATAAAAAATATAAAAATAAATTAAATTGTACCTTTTCTGAGACTGCCACAGCTGGGACGGATCCCGACATTATTGTCGAGATCCACCCAGCTGCGTGAGTGACAGCTGGCTCTGCCTATCTAGAGGCTGTACCCGCCCACCTTCCAGTCCATTCCTCCAGTCTAAAGGATCAAAGCAGGGAGGGGGAATCCCTGCAGGGAGCCGTGACTGGGAGTCACGGCTCTCTGCAGGGAGATGATCGAGGAGTGAGTGAGCGACCGCATGTGTTCGATCACTACCCGATCTATTGAGCCGACGTGTGACAGTTTCATTGTCACACATCGGCTCGAACTATGAGGATGGGTGATTTTCACTGACTTCATAGTTATCCTTTAATGTGCAGGGATTTAATAATCCGAAAAAAAGGTCTCAGTTGTTGTATTACATGCATAAACAGAAAGTTCAATTATTATTTCTCCAAGAGACTCACTTCCGTGCCTCGGTTGCACCCAAAATGCCCAGGAGATACTACCACTCTTGCTACACTAGTAATAATAATCCTGTCCAAAAAACTAAAGGAGTTGCCATTGGGTTCCACTCCTCGCTTTCTGTAAGGGTGATTAAGGTGTTGTTGAACCCTGATGGTAGATTTATATTCCTCTGCTGCTCGCTCTATCATAAAACCTCCCCAAACAGAAACAGGCTTTCCTTGGAGTGATTACTATAGTAGGAAACTTTAATTTTGTCATAGATCCCTCCCTGGACTCATCTTCAGGTAAAACCCACTTCTCTCTCCCTTTACTGAATAATGTCAGAAAACGTCTATGTCACCTCCAGCTGGTAGATATATGGCAACTTTTACATCCGGGTGCCTGGGATTACACCTTCTATTCGGCCCCTTCTACCTATAGTACAATAGATTACTTTTTCACATCCCATTCTCTACTTTGTTAACGTCCGACAGCTTGCATAGGTCCTTAAATTTGATCTGACCACCTCCCTTTATTCCTGAGTTTTTCTGTCACAACCACAGCAATACAATATCTGCCTCCACTTAGAGACTCAATGAGTCTCTCCTCCGTGACTCAGTTGTTTAAGAGGTCCTCCGGTCTGGAATCAGGGATTTTTTTGCGGTCCATGCTTCTGTTTGCACTTCTCTCCCACTCCAGTGTGAGACTCTAAAATGCGTTCTGAGAGGTCTGTTTATTCAGCATGGTTCACGTCTGATGAGATCTCGTGAAATTTGTATACCCACCCTCCTGTCTGCCATTTCTGGTCTTGAGGCCCAACATAAATCTCAGCCTGATCCTTCGCTCTATCAGGAACTTGTCAATCAGCGAGCTGAGCTCCACTCCCTTCTCGACCTTGCCTATATAGACCATAGGGATACAGCCTTACGCTCCTTTCATGAGTTTGGCGATAAAAGCAGTCGACTTCTGGACTGGTTCATGCCTCCGAACATATAGCGAAAGCTTTTCATCAATATTTCTCATCCCTCTATAATCTGACCCCGGCACATCGACAGGGGACTTCTGGTCCACCAGAGATCGGTATTTCTTCTTATATATGGTCAACGGGGCTGCCTACCTTACCTGCAACAGCAATCAAATCTCCTTCTACCCCATTCTCCTTAGAAGAAATCTCTTCGTTTATACGCAGACGACCTTCTGGTATACATCATGAACCCCTTAGTAGCTTTCCCATCTCTGATAATGGAATTTGATATTTTCTCATCCATCTGTAATTTTAAGGTTAATGTCCACAAGACAGACGCTATTAAACAATCTTTTTATGTTGCTTAAATGACAGGGCCTTAAATACCTGGGTGTTTTTTGCCCCTCAGTCCAACTTATTATATGATCTTAATTACAAGCCCCTCTTGACGAGAATTCAACAAAACTTAAAAGAGTGGGCGGGACTCCATCATTCATGGTTTTGGAGAATGGCTCTATTTAAAATGGACATCGTGCCCCGTCCCTTATATGTCTTCCAGACAGTTCCCATTGAGCTCCCTAAAGCTTTTTTTAATCTCCTTTCCTCCCTTCTGCGATATGTCTGGTCGTCTTCGCCTGCACAACTCTAATACACAGTCTTGGCCAGCAGTAGCGTAACCAGAGTTATGGGCGCCCGGGGCAGAACATTTTTTTTCGGAGCCAGATGCGAGCCAGATGGGGGGGCGCCGGCCGCGAGCCGGGCCGACTGTCAAACAGATAGCTGCCCACTTAGCTAGACTTTTAGACACCCTGTTTCATGCACCTCACAAACACTGGGTCCAACTGAATAGTCTTATTTCCCCGATCCCCCCCCATCACTTCCATGGATATGCCCAGCCTCTCGCCCGGGGCAGCCTTCAGAAATTTCGGGCCCCCCACCCGCGATTTGCGGTAAAAAAAAACGTGCCACAAACGCGCGTTTCCAAGGGCTACTTGGCTGTATCCCAATGGAAACGCGCGACAAAAACGCCCCAAAGAAGCTCCTGCACTTCTTTGGGCGTAGGGCGTTTTGTAGCGCATTCATACGGCCTGTAATACGCCCAGGTGTGAACCATACCCATAGGAAATAATGGGATTTCGGTGTTTGAGCGCTTTGCAGAGCATAGGAACGCGCCACAAAACGCCCAGGTGTGAACCAGGCCTAATGCAGAATGGCACCGCTTGTAGGGGGACTACAAATCCCAGCAATACATTCATACAGCAATGCAGAACAGTATATGACCCTCAAACAATGATATATGTTCTGAAAGCAGGGGTCCTGATCGCTCTTCCTGCTTTTTACTCCTGTTCCGTCTGCCACCCCTACTGTAAATCTGGGATGGCCTTCTCAAACAACCATCCTTTTCCTCTCCCCCAGGCCCCTCACCCCCATAAGAGGGAACCCAGATATTCCACCCGATCTGCAAAACTTGAATGTTCTTAAATAGAGTCCAGACCAATTCTCCCCAATTGTTTCAGCTTTACAGAAGGATGGATTATGCCCTTTATCTTCTTTGGTCGCTGACTCCACTGCAGCCCCAGGTCGCTGGTTAGCTTATTTTCAATTGCTTCATTGTGATCTCCATAGGGATCTCCTCCCCTTTGAACAACTCTGCCTAGACAGTGCTGCACCACGTCGCCCGAACTCACCCATATATATTGTTTATTGCTCTCAACCTATCTTACGGATCTACCTAAATGTATGGAAGATTGGGCCAGAGGTGTCTTGTTCTTTCTCAGCATCCAATATATCTAAATTCTTTATTTTGACTAATAAACTCTCCATTGCCAGTAGAACTCAAGAACGCAACTTTAAAATCCCTTCCAGATGGTACCTCTACCTCTATAAGATCTACCCTCAGGTCTCTGACTCATTTTGCCCCTGTCACTCACATCCGGTGAAAATGCTCCATACAGTATTTGGTGGACCTGCCCTGTCATATATAAGTTTTGGTCCACTGTTTTGGGCACTTACGACTCCCTTACCGATTCAAGGACCATTTGAACCTCACAGATGGCCCTCCTTTCCATGATACCAGGATTCGTTGCTTCCTCTAAAAAGGCATTACTCCACTTTTTCCTTGTGGCAGCTTGGACGGTCATACCGAGGCACTGGAAGTCATTGGTCCTCCCGACCATGAAGGAATGGGCTGAAGAGATGCAATTTATTTGTCGGATGGAAGAGCTCACAGCTGGAATTCATGATCGCCATCCTCAATTTTATGAATTATGGAGTGTATGGCTGCACTTCTGCATAACCTACAGGCTCCCTTTATTGTTGGCCACCTAGTTATCTGTAGCAGATGAAAAATACCACAAATATGTGAGGCCCAGTCTCTGTCGCACACCTTAATTTCTCCACTTATCTTTCTTTCCTTCCTTCCTTTTTTTTCTTTTTGTATGTCTCCTTTTCTTCGTCTTTTCTCTTTTCCATTACTCTAGATGCTTCAGGGGTATTTTTGCACTGTGCAAATGCTGACTAAATTATGCTCAAAGTGGACTCCTCTGCTCAATCCAATAGCCACTCCTCTAGAGAGTTTATTATCGGAATAACTGTGATACCATTGTGGGAAACTATACGTATCGAGTCCAATCTTGGATTCGGCTGTTAAGTGTGTCTCTTGGAGGAAGGCTATTTGGATTGATTCCCGTCTTAATTCTCTGAGTATGGAGTGGCGCTTAATAGGGGTGTTAAGCCCCTTTACGTTATAAGTCATAACTTTTAAATTTAACATTGTGCTGAGTATATAAGAACATCATAACCCCTAGACGCTCCAATATCGGCCTTACACAAAAAAAAAAAAACCTAAGTAGTTACTATGCTCTTCTGATCTGGCCCCGTCCTATATGGAAAAGTAACCCAAGCACATACATTTATGTATGTATTTTAAGTGTTTTTTTCGTTTTGTTTTTGTTTTACAGGCCATCAGAGTATTCTTCATGTTACGGGCTTTATCGCTCAGTCTGCGGAAAGAGCCTGAGACTCAACTTCCTTTGACCCGAGAAGAGGACCTCATAAAGACAGATGATGTGCTTGACCTCAGTGAGTAACATTTCAATATTACTAAACCCTATGCAATGCTTGACCATCAGCAAGCACAACTGAATTTTCTGTTCATCTTAAAAAAACAGTTTGAAGTAGAATATACTTTATTTATTTAAATTATTTTGTTCAATATACTGTTATGTTTCCAAAAAACATATTTTGGTTATTCTCAAGTCCTGGCTGCAAGTATTACCTACATACTGAGCCATCAGCAGAGTATGCCTCCTTGTGTGGATAGTCCATGTGGCCATCAGGCTGTGTAAATTTCTGGGGGATTTGCCAGCAATTTCCCCAGGTTTTTTTTCATGAAATTATGATGGAGCAAAGCTCTTGGTAATAATGTTGGTGTGTACATGCTATTACATGTGCTTTGGTTTTGTCATACAAGCCATGCGTGAGCTTTTACTTTTCTTGATGAAACATTAACATTCTAGCTAAGCATATACTCTTAGATAAGGCCATTTAATTTTGCTGGCTTTTTTAAGCATGCTCTGAGACAGACAAGGGAAGGTCTTGCAGCATGGATGCTCATAAAACAGAATAATCATCTCTTATAAGGCCTTGGTAAAATTATTTCCAAATCTCACTCTCTTAAAATTAAACAACCAAACTGCAGTACCCGTTTTTAGATGCCCATTACCAGTAAGACTGTGCTGCCTCATTGCAATTTGTCTTAACCCTTCCCTACTTTATCCAAAATAGTTTTGGCTTTGCATACAGTTAAGTCTGGCTCAAAAAGCAATAATGTCCTTATCTAACCATTCTTACCTAGTAGGTTCATTGCTCATTTGTTTTTTCAAAAGTGTGGTCAACTGGAAACAACAAGGACCCATACTTCCTCAGGGAGTGGTAGAGGGATCTGGGGATCACTTTAACGGAAACTTAGAAAACTTAAATGACTAGACTAGTACATGTTTTCATGGGCTCCAAACTGCAGGAGACCTGCTGCAAATCCTATTCTAGATGGTACAGAGTGTTGGCATCAATGTATGCTAATGTCTTGGCAGCTTGCTGGAGGAATGTGGAAGGAATGTGGAAGATTCTTAAACTTGTGGTAGGAATGCCCCATAATAAAACCTTTCCTGTTTGCACTTAGGAAGATTAAACCAGTATTTATGCCTCCAATTTTCCAATGACCCATTAGTATTTGTTATTTAGTGCAAATTCTATGCCCATAAAACCGTATTTAAAAAAAAAAAAAAATCTTCAGTTCCCTACCTTCTAAATGCAGGCAAAAGCTTTGTATCTGACTGACAGGGCTCCTTCCTTAAAGGAATTGAATGAATGTTAATGAAAAATTGGAAATAAGGGGTGGACATACTGGCTGAAGGACCAATATGATATGAAGATTCATACTATGTGCATTTTAATAAGCAGGCAAACACACTTTGGATGGGGAATTTTGATTTCTTGTTGGTTTATCATTTCTGGTTTTGTAGATGAAAAAGCAGTAGACATGGCACAGGAATACCTATTATAAAAGTGATAGGTTACTATGCTTGCAGTTACAACGTGGAATCATCTGTGATAAACTAAACTGTTATTTGTGATATATGCTGCTTATTTATATTACATGGATGCATGTATTTTTTTCATTGATACTTGTATGTACCACATGGCTGCAGCAATGCAGTATGTACTACTTTTCTTGACTGTAACTTTATAAATAAAGATGACATTTGATTGCATTATCTGCGTACATAGAGGTTCATAATTTGACCCTAGGCACTACACTGAACATATGTCTTGGAAAACCCACCTTAATGATCTAATTTTCTTTTGGTCTTATGGTCTATAAATGTATATTTATTTAAAGGACACCCGTGCTTAGAGTGATATTAAACTCACAAGGTTTTTAAGCTATTTAAATGCTGACTGACTCACTTACAATTGATGCTGCTACTTGATGATTAAATATTTTAGTTTCCTGCATAACCAGCTGGTGCCCTGAGCACTGGCCCTGATATTCTGTTTTAGGGTGGCTCATTTCCCATGTAGGGACCTATAGCTCCCCCCTTATGTGTGCAAGTATGCTGTGTGTGTCTCTACAATTACACAGGCTCAGCAAGACAAGGAACCCCCCTGTTCTCTGCTCCCCACACTTGCCTCCCCCTTCCCCAAGCTAGTATATGAACAACTGCTGGAGACTGATCTGTCTCTTGTGATTATGTACTGGACAGGAAGTTCAGGGAAGCCGCTGAGAGAGTTGGAGTCAGCTGTTCGGAAACATGATGACTGTCAGTGCTTGGGCAAAAATTTAAAGAACTACTTTGATGGGGAATGTATATTTGTTTGATCTGGATTCATTACTGAAAAAAACGTTTGCGAGTTTAATACTACTTTAAGAAGACGGGGGTTGCCACTACTGTCCTCTAAAAATGCTATTTGCCTGGCTTTACTGGCTTCCAGATTGCTTGTAATGGTGATTCAGAACAAGGATGCATCAAGTAAAGTTAGAAAAAAGTCATAACTCCTATTCTGCATGCTTGTTCGAGGTCAATGACTCAGAAAGTATTAAATAAGTAATTGGATCAGCAGGACAGTTAGACAATAATTATTTTCAGAGAGCTTTTCACATATTACCTTAGCTTCCTTTTAAAGTTAATCTGTCACCAAAGAAATGCTAGCCTCTATCAGAGGTTTCTGAAGTAGGTGTTTTGCTTTATTAAGTTTTTTCATTCAAATTTGTATTATTTATTTGAATGTCTAGTAAAACATATCATACATCCATGTTTTAACCCAGCGGTGACGAACCTATGGCACACGTGCCAGGGAGGGCACGCGGTGCCCTTTCTGCTGGCACGCGGTGCCCTTTCTGCTGGCACGCAAGCCCAGGTTCAAAGACCACCAATTCAAATAGATCTGACCAAACCGGATCGCCTCAGTAGGCGATCCGGGGCAGTCACAATCAGGCAGCGGCGGCGGCCTCTAAACAGGCAGATTAGACGGCAGCTTCCCCTCGCTAGGACCCTGGGAGGCCCCCGCGAGTGGCCGTCTAATCTGCCTGTTTAGAGGTCACTGCTGCCTGATTGTGACCGGCCCGACTACAGAGGACGTTTGGATCCCCCTTGAGAGCCGCACAGCCTTTCCACCTCCTGAGTGCAAAACAACCTTCCCCTCCCCCCCGGGAGCCGCGAAGGCCCCCCCATCCTGAGAGCCATACAAGTCCTCCAACCGGGAGCTGCACAGCCCCCCTGCCTGAGAGCCACACAGGGATGCAGCCCACCTCCCTGCAAAACAGGTAAGCAGGAGAGGGGGCAATGTTCTATTTATTCATTTTTATTATTAGTTCTGTGTATGTGTAATATGTGTGTTTTAATAAGTGTGTGATGTGTGTGTTTCATTACGTGTGTATGTGTGTGTGTTTTATTGAGTGTATAAATGTTTGATTATGCGTGTTTCCCTATTTTGCCTAAGTGAAAATATTCACACTGAGCGAAAAATCCCGCGATTTCCGCTGCGATATCGCACATTTTTGCCGCGCGATATCGCGAGAAGTTGCCGGCTAATTCAATGGAGCTGTTCTAATGTACAGCTCCATGAGCCAGTCACTGTAGCTGGACCTTTTTTCCCGCGAATGTCGCGCAATTTTTCTATTTTTGAATGCAGCCCACCGGTGAAGGTCGCTGGAACGTCGCCCCTATACAGTCGCGCTATACCGGCCGTGCGGATCCGCTTGTAAGGTATGTAGCTTGGTGTGAATGGGGCCTAAGGAAGTGATGTTGAACGTTTCTTAAACCCGAGCACCCGACCTGCAATACAGTACTAAACTTATTGTCAGCGCTGGCACTTTGAGGTAAATAATTTGATTTTACGTCGCAATTTGGGCACTCGGGTTCAAAAAGGTTCGCCATCACTGTTTTAACCCCTTAGTGACACAGTTTCAGAAAAGGATTTTGTTCCTGGGGACCAGAGCAATTTTGCTATATTTTTGTTTAACCATAATTTCCATCATCCTCATTCATTGCATCTACACATATACCATTTTTTAAAGGACAGAATTGGCTTTCATTTGATGTGACCTATGCATATGTAGATTCTTTTTTTTAATCACAGTTTAAAAAAAAACCATGTTTCACAGTTTTGTCAATAATAATGTCTAGATAATTAGTGTAGCTAACAAAGTAATTCTTAATAAATTATTTTATTTGTCCTGATTTATAGGGTATATCATATGTCTGGGAATTCAGTTTATTTCAAGAGTTATAGGTCACAAAATGCAGAGAGGAGTGAAAAACAATTTTAGTGTGGAACAATTTTAGAATGTGGTATGTTTGTCTCCGAACCTTAATAGCCTCCTTGACACTATAATTTCCTATCTTTTTTTATTACACCTTTTTTTTTAAATGTTTAACTTGTTGTTCCTTTTTTTAAATCGTTTGAAATTTAAAAAAAAACTGTTTACATTTTGTGTTAAACTAGGGGGGGCCCTAAGAGGTAATTTTTTTTTATTATTTACAGGGGCTTTTGATACTAAGTATTCTGAGGGGATACAGTATTTTCCTCAGAGATACTTTGTATCACTTTATAATACACAGCCGGCTTCCAGCTACACAACACAGTGAACTGAATGCTGGCTTGGTGGCTGTCACAGCACGATGATCACCGTGATCAGCTATCACAGTGATCACTGTGCTGTGACCACCTAAATTGCTGTTGAGGGTCTCCCTCGGACCCTGAGGGACCCATCAACACCATTAATAAGCACTGGTCCGAGAACCAGCTCTCATTGTACCGCATGATGGGATTATTCTGTCGCCAGTTGTTCAGGAACTGAAAGACTGTGACAGAATTATTTTTATAATTATTTTTAGTTTGCACAGTTTGTGCAGCACTTTACAATATAATTAAGACATTACAATCACAATACAATTTAAGACAAGATGGTAAGGAGGGCCCTGCCAAGTAGGTTGGGAATAATCCTGTCATCGGTTGGGAAGGAGTTAAACATCTTTGGAGCAGAGATTATTTCTAATTACACGCCATAACTCTTGAAA